CAGAAGTATAAAAAAACCAAATGGGAAAAAAAAAAAAAGGTGGCTAAAGAAGCAGTAAAATGAAATGCAATATATGATCATGGACTAGATCCTGTGTTCTAGAGAAAAAATGGTATTAAAAAGATACTCTTGAGAAACTGACATTCGAATTTGGAAGAAGAAATAACAGTATTGTTTCAATGTCATATTTGCTAAATTAGGTAACTACAATGTGATCATGTAACAGGTTATATCTGTTTTCAGGAAACATATACTGCTATAAAGTATAAAGCTTTAAATTAAAAAAAATTATATATATGATGCATGACTCCTACTCTCAAATGGAAAAATAAGTGTGTTTGTGTGTGCATGGGCATGCGTGTGGTTATAAGACAGTGATAAAATAAACATAGCAAAATACTGACCACGGTGAACTGGGTAAGGAGTATATGGGAATTCTGTACTATTCCCACAACTTTACTGTAAGTTTGAAACTTCTGAAATCAGGTGTTGCCTCCCCTCCTCCTTGTTAACCCTCCCATCTGCAGGACCATAATCCCCCACCTCCAGGATGGCATTCAGCTATCCTGCTCACTTCAGTGAGCATGCAGTTCCACTGAGAGCTTAGCACCTCTAGGCATTCACATGTCTGAACTAAAGTTTTAAAACAACATTAACACATGCAAACAAAAATCCATCCAATTTTGATTACATAATATTGTATATAAGTCACTTCCAAGGCATGAGGAAATAGTGATTATGGATATCACATTTAAATATTATCTTTTCAGTCTCTTTCTGCTTTAGAAGGGCAGAAAGAGTGAAGCGACTGAGACATCTTCTCAAATGGCTCAGCATATTATTGAATTCCAAAGGCTTGCATTTTCAGGGGTATTGTTATCCAAGAGTGACCTATTTAGTGACACAGAAACTAAATATGCATCATTGATGTACTTGCTTCATGTAGCAGCAAGGAGGACAAATGAACTTGTCCACATGTTGTCACTGAACTTGACTGAGATTGTGGCATACAGCAATGGACTTAGAGCATCTTCACAGTCATAGTACAAATAAGCTATTTGTGTACACACACACACACACACACACACACACACACACACACACACACAATAGTACTGCTTCTGTCAACAGAAGAGAAGGGTCCACTGTTTATTCATTCTGTGATCCTGTACAAATCCATGAGTGCCTGAATCCCAGTTTCCTCGTAGCACTCACTTTGTAGACTGCTGTCAGGATTAAGTGAGATAATGCAGGTAAAGCACTTAACCCAATGCATGACACGTAATGAATAATAAATGTCACTGAAATGGTAATGATGATGATGATGGAGATACTTGAGGATGAAAGTGATGGTAACTACAATCTCTTAAAAGTGGCAACAGCTCTAGAAGAATGCTTCAGTCTTTTGCCAGGACAAGCAATAAAAGGATGTGTAAATAACTGCACACAGGATTGAGTCTGCAAATGAGGGACTGGCTACAGGATACTGAGCCACAGCAAAGCTTCCTGGGAGGAAAGCAATAAACCATGCAGTGAGCCCACTGCATTTTGTGTCCCATTAGATATGTGTCCCCCTCCGTACAGGATAACCACAACCATTTGACTGGGTCTCTGGGGAAACTCTCTTTACCGTCATATTTACTCTTCCAAATAAAACAAACATGGCACTCAGCTGGCTACCACTTTCCCAGATTGATTCCTCTGGTTTTCAGATGCCCTGCTGTAAGGCAAAGCTTTCAACCAAACTAGAAGAATCCTACTTAAGTCGGCAAAATATGCACTATTTGATTCAAAATGTACAGCTAAGACTGTGGTGGGAACAAAAATAGAGACACTCATATAAGGCCTTACTTTATGGTAAGGTGCAAAATTCTTCCTCAATCATCTGACAAACCAGATCCCATGCATTAAATCCCTCACAGGACAGTCAGGCCCTCTCAGAGGACATTAAAATAATCATCACAGTCACCCAGTGACCTAGCACACCTAGAACAGTGACAAGAGGCTGGTTATAGAAGATAGTATTTATATTAATTGTTAAACACACAAGATCCCAAAGTTCAGGAATATTCTCTATGACAAAGTATCTTCTTACTTACTTCAATCTTGATTCTAAGTTTATAAGAGATAAATAGACTGTTTACAAAACAGAACATCCAAATGTGTATTATATTTATGGATGCTTGATAATAAAGCCTTTCAGAAAGTCTCGGATGCATAGAGCTACAAAGAATCTTAAAGATCATCACAGCCACCTACCCAACAGCTTGACCAACTCTTCTACTTCTCCAAAGTCCCTCCAAATTGTCTTTCAGTCTACATTTCTCCATGTTATGGCTATCCCCTAAAGTAGTGACTACTTTCTCTTTCATGCATTCAAACATGAGAAGGCAATTATGAGATCTGTTCACTCGTCTTTGCTGGATGGTTACTGGCCATTTCTCAGATGTCCTTGCTGCAGTAAATTAAGTGCAACACAGGGTGAACTTTTGACTTTGAGAACCATTAAGCTGCACCCACAAAATGGAAAAGCCAAAAGCACACAACTCTTAATGATCACTGCCTTTCCTGCTGCTACAGGCTCCTATTTTCTATTTTTATTGAGTAAGGATGAAGAGACCACAATACACAGCATTTTAGATAGCAGAAGCTGATACTGAAGGATAATTACACTCTTATGCACCTGAGATCTACTTAATCTCTTCCTTCTCGAGCGGTTTGTCAGCATCGGGAAGGAATAAGATCTTGAGGAAAGTAGTTATGAATGCCATGGGTACCACCTCTCTAAAGGCCATGTGGTGCCAGAGAAAGTCACTCTGTAATAAGGCAAAGTGAACTTACACCCTGACTCCCTCTATCGGTTAGTGGCCATTTACACTGTGGATACCGGTTTCCACATCTGTGTGTGTGAATGATGCTTGCATCTCAGGGGTGCTTTAAGAAAGCAAGAGGAAAACATACTATCAACATAGTAGGGCTCATTTTTTGCTTCTTTTTAATGGAAACTATATTTTGTGTAAATTATCTTTAAAATGTTAACGTGCCTAAAATATCTAGGATGATGTGATTTTTCTGTAATCTACTTCCTTTCAGTTTCAAACTTCATAGGATACCCATGGTTTTAAAATATTTTGAACCCAAATAACATCCAAATTGACTTAGATACATTAGGTAATTGTACTAAATGGTCTTATTTATTGATAATGTACATGAGTTTAATTGCTCAGCACACTTATACTGAATGATAATTTATGAAAAATACATAATGTGGCTTTTCCTTAGGTCAATATGTCTTTTAGTTTTTAATCTATAAAAGTATCATTGTGACATAATTGGCTTTTGATTCAATGCTTCTATAAGCTCAAAACAGTTTAGGAAATTACCATTCAACATTACAACTCAAAAAAGAAAAATACTCCAGGGCTGGGATTTGGCTTAGAGGTTCCACGGCCTGCCTCTCAAGCACAAGGGCCTGGGTTTGAACCCCGGTACAAAAAAAAAAAAAGACTCCAGGAACAAAATAAGTTAATATATAATTTAATTTTATTCCACTTTTAGCTTTTATATTTATAAACAATGATTTCCCTCACCTATTTATAAAGTATTCCTAAAATCTCACTTATTTCCCTCCAAGGCAGAACGTGAATATCCACTTCGTCTGGTGATGCTGATTACTTCCATCCCTGATGCTGCTCCCAACCTATTGCTTGCTTTCCCACCCTAAATCAGCTCACCAACATCGGTCATTTCTATTTCTGCTGCTAATAGGCCACAAAACCTTGTAACAACAAGACACAGTACAGATTTTCTCATTCACTGTGAAGCAATCATAGAAGATAATGACAGAATCTGAGAACCAAAGGAGTCAGGACAGCGACTGTAGCACATTTGACAGAGGAGGCAAGTGACAGCTAGAGGGTTGGCCAGAGCCATCAGGGTCCCAGCTAGTCAGTAACAGAGGGGTTAGCTCCAAAAAAGGCTTATTATTTACAATATTTCCTGAAGAATATTTTTAGGGACTTTAGTCCCAGGATGCTACTAGCTGGTGGGGGTTGGGAGTCAGTGGGGAGCTTCCCAAATAACACTAAAAACTCACAGGTACAGATAACAGGTTTGTCTGCTGCAGGACTTCTCAGAGACTTTACCATCTACAGTACTTTGTATAAATCCAAAGGAAACAACAATCAGCAGTGTTTTCCAAACATTTTAAATCATGAAATTCTTATTTTGATTTGTAAGTATTTTGTGGATACAATATTCTATAATATACATTTTGGGAAATTTAAAAGCTAATATATAAAATTAAAAGTATTTGTGACTTTGAGGATTAACATATTTTGTTCTGTTTGCTTATATGGGTGTCAACACACACACAAAGCCAGAAACATGAACCACAAGAATCGGTTCAATATATGCTATAAAAATCAAGTTTATAGTCTATCATATAGAACAAGGACTTTTAAAAGTAGGATAGAAACATGTTGGTTGCTTACCACTTGACTGCAAAATGATGACAATTCAGATGCATTTAGCAAGCTTAGGGTCCATCAATGGAGTTCTTACCTTTAGTTCAGCTACTTCAAAATTATAGTCAACAGAATAATGATACAGTCAAAACAGTTCCATAGGCACCGCCAGAAACAAAATCAGGCTTACATAGGAAAAAGGTTAAAATGCTTTGTGTTCCAAATGTGACAGTGTGAAAGCACACAAGGTCACAGGACTTGGGGCAAACTTGAAATCTGTCATCATTCCACCAGGCCTCTAAAATAGCATCTGTGTAAGAGACACCTTGAAGGGGTGATGGGGTGCGCTTTCAGTCTCTGCAACAGTATTTTAAAACCATTAGAAGCCCAACACAGCTTCTCAGGCTCCCTGTGGAAGTTACTGTCCATAAGCCCAGGGGGCTCAGGCTGCTCTTGAATAAATAAGCACCTTGGACCTCTCCTGGAGCCCCAGCCTTAGCTCCACCCACATAGGTGGCAGCAGTGCAGCTAGCTGATTTCATAAAGCCCCCAAGGCAGAAGAGCTGGCTGGGAGCTCATTACGGACTTTCACTGAGTCACAGACCTCTGCAGGAGGACTGCATTGATAGGTCCGTTCCATAGGACAGCAAATGCCCCACTAAGGAAGCAGCTTTTGTAATATGAGTGAAAGCAGTGCTTCTCCCTTTGGCAGAGAGGCACTGTGTTCTCACAGAAGAAGGAAAAAAAATGCATATTATTAAAAAATATTGGAGTTTTATAGGAATTTCTTTCCCTACAATCAAAAATGCTCTGATTACAACTGATTCTTTGAATTCTAAAGAATACCCAAAGGGGTATTTCATGAGCTTTCAAGGGTTGAGCCAGGTAGTGTCATGAATTAAATATATGATTACACTACTGAATTCCAAACCACTGAGAAATTCTAATGGTGACTAAAATAAAAACTCAGAGGGAGAAATCTGTAAAAAGCATGAAATAGTTCCCTTATAACCAATCTCATAACTAACATGTTTTAGATTTGTGTGGTAAAGGAAGGGAGAACTGAAGAAATCAATAATCTGAAGGAAGGAAAATATCGCATGAAGAGAAGAAGGTAGTAAGTGGGAATGTCTTCTTTCCTCCCTTTCAAACTCTGCCCTTCCATATAAAGCCTTTTCATCTATTTCTTCTTAAAGAAAAATAATATATGAAAAAACTTAAAAAGATCAGCCAAGATGGTAAGTACTTACAACTCTAGCCTCCATCACTAAAATATTGGTGTACATTTTTCTAGGCTTTTTAGTATGTCTATATATGCCAGAAACATATTTTTTCAAAAAAATGGCATTATACCTATATTACTTTGTAGCCCTATAATCTACTCAATGCAATGTGTTCTATATCTATAAATAAGAATCCTGGCCACCTCATCTATAAGGACACTGTAATACCAGGACACGAATGCGGGCCCTAGAGTTGAGCAGGTCAGTATTCAAGTCTCAGGCTAGCTCCTTTGGAATGGTATGACTCTCAAGAAGTCCTCCAGCTTCTCTAAACCTCACTTTCTTTTTTTTGGTACTGGAGACTGAACTCGAGACCTTGTGCTTATGAGGCAGGTGGCGGAACCACTGAGCTAAATCCCTGGCCCCTAAAGCTCACTTTCTTACATATGAAACAGATTACAGTATTATCTGAGTTTCATGAGTTCCTGCTAGAATTAAATGAAACACTGCATATAAAATACATAACAATACCTGATGTGACAGCTGTTTGTTCAATACAAGGTAGCTATGATAATGATGACGAGGATGAGGATGAGGATGATGACTCTATGTTATGATTATATTCCATTTTTTAAAACTCCAATCTCCTTTTCTTGGACTTTTAGGTTATTTATAATTTTTATTTGGAAATTGTTATAGACTCATAGTAAGTAGCAAAAACAGTACAGAATCTGGGAGTGGTAATACAAGTCTAGAATCCTTGCACTCAGGAGGACTGCAAGTTGGAACCAGACTTCCAGATTGGTCATAGTGAGACCCTGTCTCAAAATAAAAACAACAAAACCAAAACACAAACACAAAACCAATATAAAAAAGTCTCACATACCTATGCTTACGCCCAGTTTCTCTATGTGGTAAAGCTTACACAACCAGTACACAACCAGGACATAGATTTCAGCAGACTTACACATGCTCATTTGTGTATATGTGTATAACAATGTCAGTACAATTTTATTCCATGCGCAGACTCTTGTGACCAGCACCACAATCAGGATACAGAACTTTCCATCACCGCCAAAATTTCTTTATAATCACACCTACATTCCTCCCCTTTCTTCTTCCTTGTCTAGCCTCTGGTAACTACCAAATTCTCCCTCTCTATATTTTTCCAAAGTGTTTGATAAGTGGAAATACATACTGTGCAAATACTAGAGGTTAGCTATGCTCAGCATAGTGTTCTTGAGACCCATCCACATTGTTGCATAAACCAATAGTTTGTCCCTTTTTATTGCTGAGTAGTAAGTAGTATGGATGGACCATAGTTTAATCATTCATCTGTAGAAGGACACTGAATTGTTTTTAATCTCCAGCAAATACAAATAAACTGGCCCTAAATGTTTATAAATAGGTTGTTGCATAGACATAAAAGTTTTACTTCTCTGAGTAAATACTCAGGAATGTGAGTGCTGGGCTCTATGCTAAGTACATATTTAGGTTTACACAGCACTGCCAAACCATTTTCCAAAATGCTACACCATTTTACTTGGCCACCAGCAATGTATAAGAGATTCAGCTTCTGTGTTCCCTCACCAGTATTTGATATTTTTTCTTTTTTTCAGCTTTAATTGTTCAGATAGATGTTTAGAGATAAATTTGCTTTTCCAAAATGGCTAATGACATTGAATACCTGTCTATTTTGTGGGGGTATGGGGGAATCAAACTCTGGACCTTGCATTTACAAGGCAGGTGCAGTGCCACTGAGCTAAATCCCTGGCCCCCTGTGTCTAATTTTTGATACAATGAACAATGAAATATTTGTTTAGATAAGTTTTAAGTTAATTTCTACAAATGGATTCTTCAAAGTGAAAATGCTGGCTAGGCAGATTAAAAAATAGTTGGACTATATATAATGCCATATTGCTCCTCAAAAAAATACCAATTTATTCTCCTATAAGTATCAAATAAATTGCTCAGCTTTTAAAGTATAGTTATCGCTCATTATTACTTCCTTTTATATAACTTATATAATCTATAAATTATTTACAATAACTAGTAAAATGTAAATGTTGTGTAAATAATTGCTATACCGTATTGTCTAAAAAGTAGTAACAGGAAGAAAGGATGTATGTGTTTAGTACAGATGCAGAGACTTCTGCCAACTGTATTCCAAACACTCTCATTGTTTCCCCAACATGTTAAAAAGAAAGTTCTTATATATCTCCCCTACCAGGGAAATAAATAAAAACTAGTTTGCCAAATCCTTAAGGGAACAGAAAATGAACCAACTAAGCTAACTTCTCTGAGGACATCCCAAAATCTGGCATATGGTGCATATTTTATCCAACATCAGGAAGAAGAAAGAAAACTCATTTACCTTTATGGGCTATATGACATAGGTCTTCTTGCATTTTAGAAAATTCTGATGATGTTTCAGAGCCATCAGAATAATTTTTCTCTTCTCCAAAATCTAGTGTTGACAAATTAGGGTTGGAGGAATGTAGTCTTAGAGGGCCAGAGAAAGGTTTAGGGACCTAAAGTGACACCAAAAGAAGAGATTTCTATTCAGTAGACTGTTCAGAATATGATTGTAAGACTGGAAAGACTTGCTAAGGGAAGAACATTTTAAAAATCTTCCTACTGAATGATAGGAGAAAAATATATGAAAACTTAGGAAAATACTTTCCACAGAAACTTGCTTCTTATGAAATAAAAATGGGTAAGAAATCTATTCTTTTGGAAATGATAGAAGTATTAAAGCTATAGTCGAAAATTACAGCTAAAACTGCCAGGCTTTCTCATGTACACTCATCCTTTCTCCTGGCAATCGCCACCCAGTAAGTAACTGGGTTGTTAGCAGCGAACAGGTTTAAATGCTTTTCTTTATTTGCACCTGGGGCTTCTACAAAGCTAACTACTCACGTTTCTACATGGAACATTCTTTACTTTAAAATAGCCCATAAAGTGCTTTGAGTGTACCAAAGAGTACACAAGAATGTATCAGTTGACTTTTCAAAAGCCTGGGATTAATTTTGATTCTAACAATGTTGTGATTTAATGTGCAGCAGTCATGCTGCACATCTTGGCCCGCAGTCTCACTGTGCTTTGGGAGGAGACCTTCTACATGACACAGTGAGCCTGTGGTGGGATCATGGGAGTTTGAAGGCAAATGGCAAGAGTCCGCATGTGGACTCAGAGGGATGATAAATCCACTGAGCATCAGCAGGACAGGGGATCAGAGCACTGGTCTCTGCAGCCACAAACAAGGAACACACCCAAGCAGGGAAGAGGACAGGCAGGCTAACCATTAAAGAAGGGGAAGCGGAAAGCCCTCAAAATGGTGGTAAGTCCTCCAACTCCATAACATTTTTCTTTAGAAAACATCTTCTCTGTCCAATGCCCATTATAACCTTATACTCATACGCAGAAGATCTAAGTGACTGAATTCCTCCCCTTGCACAGAGAACAACTCCAGAATATGCACTTGTCCAGTCTCCTATTTGAGTCAAAGTAGCCCCAGCATGTGACATGCAGAGCAGCACCAAGGAGGAAAGCAGTCTGTTACAGGTGGAAGCAATGGTTACCTGCAGCGTTCCTTTAGTATCTTTCCCAATAGCTCTGGACCGCCACCTCCTGTGCAATCTTTTTTCCTTTTTGGGACTTTCAAAAGCTCCACCCTTTGTTTCAAAACAGGAAAGAGAGCACAGACAATAAGGTCCACCAAACCACAGGGATAAACGCACAGCAAAGTGACAACTTTCATCCCCTTGAGTTTGGCTAAAGCAACTGGCCAGAAAACAGCCCACTGTTAGTCAAAGGCTGGGAGGAGAAAGGAAAGCAGAAGCCAGAAGGTGAACGCAAGAAGGTGAGGCAAACCTGTATGGCATTGATTGCTGGCGCTGAGTACGTCCGATGCAGGATGTCCATGCTCTGTAGGAGCTGGCTCATCTCCATCAGATAGGCATGGCAGTGTGCCAGGTCTGTGGAAGAAAGAGGAGAAGGCTCATTCTCCATAGCAAGAGGGATCACTGTACTGGCTTTTCTTACTTTTCTACATTTGACTTTCCATCGGATATGCAGGAAATTTTGCTTTGTGTTAGAAGAATGGCTATAGACTGTCAGGGTTCAGGGAATGGATCTGGATAACCAGGTTACTCAGTTTGAATCCACTCAGTGAATTCTTGGGTAAATGACATAACTTCTCTATGCCTCAGTTTCCTCATTTGGAAGATGGAGACAACTACAAAGCGAGATCACTGAGAGTGAAGACAATTAAATAAGTTGCTATGTGAAGAGCATGTAAAAGTGTCTGGACTGTTGTAAGAACTCAATAAATCAGCCATTACCATCTTCATTATCAACAGCAGCACTGTTATTCCTAATCCAGCAACAGCAGGCTGCTGCCTGCCACTTGCAAGGCCCAATTCACATCAAAAGAATGAAAAAGAAATAAAGTTGTACCAATTTCTAAAAATGACTTTATCATGGGCCTGCATGAGGACTGTGATGAGCCTCTGCAGGTGGACCTGAGATGACCAGAGAATAATCTTACAGTCCTTGTCACTAACTAAAAGATAGCCCACAGTTGGTGGTTCACTAGATGCTGATGGATGCTTCCCCTAAAGAATCAAGTCCCAAAGGGCTTAGATGATGGCTTCAAATATTCGTATCATCAGAATCACCTGGAGTATTTATGCCACAGATTCTCAGGCTCCAACCCAGTTTTGGATTCAGCACATCAGGGATGGGCCTGAGAATATGCATTTCTAGTAAGTTCCTAAGCAGGACCGATGCTGCTTGCTCAGATACAGTACTTCAGAGGCCACTTTGCCAAGATGCCAATCAGTGAAGCTCGTGAATAAATTTACTGGAAAGGCAAAGGCTACATAGCCCCAGTGGGCAATGTCTGCATTCAACAACGTGAAGAGCAATTCTCACGGTAACCTTGCATCGTTCCCTAATAGTGGTTCTAAAACATGGCTATATTTCAAAATCAGCTCGAGAAATTTTTAAAAACTATATATGCCCACACTCCACTCCAGAAGCTCTCAGTCCCACTGATGAGCTTTCTTTTAGTTCCCTGGATGAGTTTTAGTTAATTAAGCTGTGAATACTGAGCTTCAGTGTGGCTGGAATGCTCATCTGTGGGGTTCCTTAGCAAAATCACATGGGGAACCAAGGACCATCAATGCTGCCAGAGCCCCACCTCAGACCAATTTAAAGAGAATGTCTGGGAAAGAGGCCTTGGCATGGGTATTCCTGTAGTTTATAGGTTCTTTTGGTGATTTGAATGTGCAGCCAGAGCAGGAAACACATACATGGTAGGACTTTCCATTTGGTCACCCACTCACCTCTAGAATAGAGTCTCAATCCAGGATGTGCATCAGAATCATTTTTGGTACTTAAAGAAAAACAGAGCTGTGCAGTTCCCATCCCTAGACACTGATTTATGGGCCTGGGCAGAAATCAGGTACTTAAGGACTAGAAAAAGAAGCCGGTCTGAAGACACACCCAGGCAAAGACATAAAACGCTGCAATCAAAGTGTCTTCTGTTGATAATGAGTATGATCTTATTAGCAAAGTATGGGAAGGAATGTAGAGAGAGAAGAGGACACAAATTCAGCTAAGGGACAGATGCAAAACCAGTTCATTTCAGAACCTGTCAGAAAGAAGCAGAGGTTTCAAGTCACTCTACCTTTTGAACATTTTTCCATGTCCTCTGAAGACTGCAGCCATAATGGAACTCGAGCCTCACCACAAGAAAATGATAAATTGCTTCCAGTTTGAAATGAATTCTGCTTTGATATACTGCTACGCTGTTCCACAGAGGGCAAGACCATAATATTATAAATGAAAACAGACACCAGCAAGGACAATTTGGGGTAAAGGAAAACAGGGCAGGTTCGATGCTAATGGATGCCTTCTGCCTGTAATGAGAAGAAGCTTCTAGCGAAGCACCCACAGGGAGACCCTGACACCTCTAGCTGTCACCCTCACTTGGCTATACCATACTATAAGACTTCAGATGACAGCTCTTATTTCCTTTTCTGTCAAATGATTTAAATGTTTGGAAGAATTCTACAATCCTGTGGGGCCATACACATACCTACTATATTTTACAACCAGGTAAGTCAAAATGGTCAAGCGAGAGCTAGAACATTCAGAGACATTCAGTTGTTCTTTACATGCTCTTCTTTGTTCTCTGTCCCACTGTTAATAGATTCTCATCTGGTCCTGGTTCTGACTCAGTGGGTGAGACAAATTAAACATCAGCCAAACTTCCTAGCTCCTCTCCACCCACCTTTTCTCAGACTCAGCCTATCCTCTCGGAAAGGTAGCCCCTTCTTTTAGGTTAATTATTGGCAAATGCTCATTACTTTTCTACTGGAAATGGAGTCAAATGCCCCAGGTGCAGCATCTGTGATAGTGGACCCCGGATAAAAGTGATTCACTTCTCGTGGAAACATGGCGATTTCATTCTGTCGATACATTCTGTGGTGACGGAGTTTGGCTACCCACTCATCAAAGACTTCTTCTGACTTCACCTAATAAAGGTTAAATTGAAAGAAGAAAATAAAAGTCATTTGCTGAAAGGAACAATTATTCAAGTTGTGGTTCCTGAATGCTTTTTATTTAGTTGGCGCATGTAGAAATGTAAATAGTCTCTTTTGACTTACTTTAACTTTACGTGCCTACAGAAACAAGTATGTAGGGAAAATATGGAGTAAAAATGGTCTTCATGAAGCCAGGCATGGTGGCGCATGCCTGTAATCCCAGCACTCCAGGGGCTGAGGCAGGAGGATCGCTATGAGTTTGAGATTAGCTCTACTGGATATGTCAGCATGATTTTTCTCTCCAATTTTTTTATAATTCAGACTTTGCAGATCAATCTTCCCTAGACTGGAATGAGTTAGTAAACTCTTCTTAAAATATTTAACCTTGTTCATCTACTCTGTCAAAGGATACATTGTTGAGAAGTGTATGTTAATGAATGTGAAGGTTATTTAAAAGAACATTTTCCCCAGTCATAAACAGAAAAATCTGATAAAGCATTATAAAGCACCATCATCATTACTATACATACATTTAGCTATTTTTACCATGTGACTATCGATTTATAATTTCCATGAAGAATGTTGGTAACCAGTAAGTTTTATAAGTAAATGTTGTTCACAAAAATACTAAAAGATACAACAAGAACCTATATACCCTGCTATTCCTTAAAAGTGTGTTTTTATATATATAAGAGCATATTAAGGCATTTTAAAAGTGAAAAATGATAGCCTATCAGGACACAGACACTAATGAAGCTGCCATTTAAAATAATCCAAAAGGAGGCCTAGTAGGTTAACTTCCCACATAGGAACTCAGACCAAGCCCATGCAAATCTTCACTAATACTACAGCTGAGAAAGAGGATGTGTGAACAAACATCACAATGACTGATCACTGAGAAACTGAAGCTGGATTTTCTGTTGATTAGGACAAGTGCCAATGAGACAGGAGACTGCTCCAGGTGCTAGCTGTCATTTATAGGAGGAGGCAAAGGAAAAAGACACACATATCTTTTACTCCCCCATATTATGATGTTCCTGAAATGTGTTTCATTTCCCAGATGGGAAATTTTATGAGAGTTTTGTGTCATCCTTGCACTGATCTACTTTCAGGGGCCCTTGAAAGTCAGTATCCAAAACACTCATCTTGACTGATCTTACTGATTAAACAAGGTAGAAAAAGAAAAGTACTTTATTAAACAATGGACCAAGATTCTGTTCCAGCGCCTTAGTCATTCTAGGACTAGGACTTTGAAAGTACAGTCACTTACCCTCTTTGCTGCCCGGACTCCTCATCTATAAAGACAAGATAACAGGCCTGCCTGGAGGGCCTGACTGATGCCATTAACTAGAACCCCCGATAACATTTACCCACACTACAATCACAGCTGATGTCCATAAGAATCACCAAGAAACTAAACAGAACTCGAAGTGAATCACACAGAGAAATATTAAACTCTGTCTACCACCTTATTAGTATTCAATGTATACTGAGACATTACAAATTGTTAAAAATTAGGAATCGATAATCATTTTTATTCCATTAGCTAGAATAACATAAACAAGAACCTATTTCCTGACCATGTCAGAACGCAAAAAGAAGAATCAGTGAAAATACATAGAACAATAACCTAAACTATTGTAGAAGAGACTGGCCATCAAAAATGGCTTGAGGGTAGGGTTAATAGTCTTTCTTAATTTTTTTAAGATGATAGGTTTTTCTCTTCTTTACATCGTAGTAGTCATTTGCAACCAGAACTGGTTTAATCCCAATGGTTGACTTGAAAATGTCTGGAGATATTTTTGGTTTTCATAACTAGAAGAGGATGCTATTGGTATTGGTATCAGTGAGTAGAAGCCGGTGGTGCTATATGACATCCTATCACCTGGGACAGCCTGCAACAGAGAATTAGCCAACTCCCAAGGTCCATGATGCCACGGGTGAGACCGTGCTTTCCACAGTGCACTAACCCATGTTACACTAAGTCTATATGTGACAATCTTGTCCAGTCAATCAAGCAGATGTGTGTGTCAGGCCTGTGGTGATCATCACCACACACATGATGCAGAGACGAGCACAGGCTCTCTCATGCTTTCTTTATCTAAACTATCAGTCCCTGTTTCCCAAATCCGACATAATTTTCCCAAGTACGAAAAATACCTTAGCATTTTCTCAATTAATTTCTAATGTCCAGGTGCCACCTAATAATCCTAAACAGCAGCTAAACTTATTGAGCTTATGTGATCCAGGCATTAGGCCAAGTGTTTTATTTGTAGTTCTTACAAGATGAGCGCTATAATAGCTGTATTTTTTTTTTTAGATGAAAACCCAGACTTTCAGCAATTAAATAATTGTCTAAAGTTCAAAAACTAGTTAATAGCTGTGTCAAGATCTGAACCAGTTCTAGATCTCATACTTCTGATTTTAACTATCTCTACCACCTGTAGGAGACAGAGAAGAATAAGGTAAGTGGCTTTGGGGCATACTATTTGCAGACTCATACTTTAGGGGGAAAATTCCTGACACTTGACTATGAAAATTTTCCTGAAATCCCTATAAAGTTAGCTGTAGAATGGGGCTCTACAAGCTAGTACATTATATTTCAAGGAACATATTTTAACCTCTGATAAACGGCTCTTTAGGCACTGCTTGGTATAGGGTGGTGTGGAAATATGAAGATGTTTCTGTTACTGTCAGTACAGTCCCTGGGAAGGAGGGATAGTACTGGGGGGATAAGGCAACAAGGATGCCAAACCTTCAAGCAGTGTTCGTGACAGCCCTGGATCATGAAGAACGGCCCCATGCCAGTATCTAGTGTCCATTAGGAACACTTTGGTGATGAAGATCTTCTTCATGCTACCTGAGGGTCCAAAAGGCATCACTAACAGCATAGTATCAACATAAAGGGGCTTATAGAACTAAGTGCAGTGGTGCCCGCCTGTAGTCGCAGCTACTTAGGAGGCTGAGGTAGGAGGATCACCTAAGCCCAGGAGTAGTTGCCAGCCTGGGTAATGTAGTGAGACTGCATCTCATATAAAAAAAATAAGGACAAAAACAAATAGAAAAAGCCCAAAGTGGCTATGCATGACAGAGCACCCCTGGGAGGCAGCCTTACCTTCAGATGGTAGATGTGCTCCTCCGTGTCAAGGTCGATGCACTTGCACGACTTCTTTACGGACATCACTGACAGCCCCACATCAATGCAGCCATGCAGCTTCTCTCGCTCGATCTGCAGAGCCATGAAGAAGGCCACTTGAGAACCACAGGTTTCAAGGTCGTAGAAATGCCCTCCCACACCCACTACCCCCACAGTAAACACAATGCTATGACTGATATAGCACTGCATGACAGCCAGCACTGCATACTGTCTTCTGCCCTCTGAGAAGTACAAAATGTGTTCCTTCTTTCAAAGATGAGGAGCACAAGAGTTAGGTAACAAGCAATTTACACAGCCAGTATGTGAAGAAACAAGATAGCAAGGCCCACGGGCTGACTCCTGTGAGTTAACCTGTTAACAGCACTGCCTCCCACTGAATTAGTGTCTGGTGTCAACTCACTGAGAAGTGCCTTAAAAGTAGGCTAAGGGAGGGTTGGAAGGGAGGAGAGAAGACCTCTATAGCTCTACGTCTACCAGTAAGTCACAATCCTCACAGACCAACTGCTGGGTCCAAGAATAACTTCTCAGCCAACACCTTCGCCTCCGTGGAATGCCACAGTGCTCTGCTTAGCTCCTGTTATTGGCTGCAAGGATGACTTCTCCCACTCAGGGAACCCCTCAACACAACCCCAAGACCAGAACAGACCCATGGATACCCAGTTAACTGCTCCCACCTAGGATCAGAGCTGAAACAGCAGAGAGCAAGCCCTTCTGTTCACCTCAGAGCACTGTGACCCTCAACTGTACACATCTCTCCACTGAGCTGACGGCAAGCCACCCTGCAGAATTCTCCAGCACCATGCTGAATCAACCAGAAGACTTACATCAGCTTGGCTCTTGGCATATTTCAAGATTCCTTTGTCCAGGTAGAAGAATCTCTGTGGGGAAGACAGGATAATTGATTAAGATATTCCATTGAAATATTCCTTCTCTGGTCTCAAATTTCAACTTCAAATCAAGCATAAATGCACAAGTACTGGGTCCTAAGTGGAGTAGTATGGGGGCACTTAAGGGAGGCTAAGTCCATGTCTTACCTTGTGCCAGCCTTTTAAGGGCCATTTCCGCTTTTTCAGCAAAAATCCCTTCTGAACAGGAGGCTCCTGGGTGTAATTCATGTCCCCCCTCAGTCCTTCCACCACTTCCCAGCTGTCCTGTTCCAACAAAAGAGTCCATGCTAAATATTTATTTTAAATAATAATGTTAAGAAATACTTCATAGTATCAAAAAATTCATCCAAGATGATGAGCCTGGGTAGGTTTGTTGGGAAGTAGTTCAAATTTAATTTCCGTATAACTTCTGTACATCATAGTTTAGTCTATAATTTAGTGTCATCAAATTTGATAGTTTAAAGTCCTCTTTCTAAAAGAATATTTCTCTCTTTGAATGTCTGAACCTTGACAACCACAGCTACAGGGAAAGATTTTACTGTAAGTTCTATTTTTGCTCACTTTGACATCATCATATGGTGACTGTTCACTAGCCAGACTTCAGTCTGAATGTCAACCAAAAGCTCCAGATATCAGGATGAAAGCTGTAGTGGGGTGCGTGTGCATGTGCGTGTGCGTGTGCGTGTGTGTGTGCATTGGCTACCTTAAGAACTGGATGCAAAGTATGGGACTGGATGAAAGTTAGTAAATATGATAATTTGAAATAATACTTTAGTTTGTAATTATCATTACATTGTAGATATTTAAACAGAAGTCTTAAAGAATCAAAAAGATGATTTAGCAACAAGGATTTTCATCCTTTTTTCAGAATTAAGTTATTTTGTCCCTTTCTTTTATTTCAAAATATGTATTTTGGCCAAGGATCATTCTACTATGTTGTCTGTTTTGAAGAGGTACAAAGAATTGTTACAATTAATCATCCAGTGCTGGCTATTTCTTTTAACTAATTAAAAACAAATTTAAGAAAAAATTAATACTAAAATTCTAAAAATTTATTTTAAAATGCAAAAGTCATTGCTAAATTACAAGAAAAACCAAAGCTGGCAATACTCCAGTGATTGGGCCACTTGGCTTTTATTGATATTATTTATACTTTTTATTGGGACATTATATGAAAAACACAAATCTTAACAGCACAGCTCAATGAATTTATATATACACATACTCAGTAACAACTATTCAGATCAGATATAAATTATTTCTAACATGGGGTAAAATTAAGTTTCACAAACATATTCTGGTCAAAATTTGATATTGACCCCCTGCTCCGAGTCAAATCTCTCATCTACAGGCAGGTGATACAAGCAGAAAACAGGGCTGCTGGGAGAAAGACAGAAAATCTGGACCATTACGAGGTCCTGAGGCAAAGATCCAGTGCCCAGGACAAAGACAGTGTAAAGAGGAGAGCACAGAATTCCAAAGGAGATTGATTTCTATGTTGCCCTCATGTTTAACACATGTTCTTCTGGAAACAAGAACCCTTCCTACCTTGGCAAGTGAACTCTTCCCATAATGATCCTGACCATCTATCAGCCTCCTGTCTGACCCCTTTTCACTGTCTGCAGCCATACCACCATGAATGTGCTTGATTTCATCTGATCGCCTTACATTGTGAAAGGAGTGAAGGTGTTTGCCTGAGTTCTGAAATACATGGTGGCCTCCCAGAATCTGGGGTTGTACAAAAAAAAGAACTTATTCGGTGGAAAAAAGAAAAAAATATTGCTTCTTAATTTAAAGAACTTGCTTTTTTCTGGACAGATAGCAACAATGAATGAAATTTCTTATTAGCCATTATTATCAATTATTCAAAGTCACTTAATTACACCCTGACAACAACTGGAGGATGCACATTATGCAGTGATAGTAAGCCTCATTTCCTGACATGTAAAAATACAAAAAAATCCTCCTCGCATTTATTTTAGCTCAGAAAGCCATTTCTCAAAATTTAATGTGTTTTACTTGCTTAAATATTAATGAATCTGTAAGGTCTTCAAGTTAAAATTCTATCCCATCAGTATTCGATCTACTTTCCAATGCCTTTTAACTTATATTGGAGGTTTTGTCATTCCAACTAGACAATGGGCCCCTTGAGAATAGAGGGTCTAGTTTACTTCTAACCTTATCTTTTATGAATAGCAGGCATTTGATGGCAAATGAATAATCCTAGCCCTGGAAAAAGGGTGCAGATAGATTTACGTTCTTGAAATATTGTAATCTGGCAGGCATTTGAAGTATGCTCAGTATCTTTGAGATAAATGACTATTTTCAAATTAGACACACTATGCCAATATCTGTGAGTGTGTGTTGTTATCAAAGGAAAATCCAAGACTCCAAATCCTCTGCCAAGTACTCTAAGTGGATCAAGCCCTTTGAATTTGTCTTCAGACTCGAAAGCAGAAGGCAACCTGCAGAGCACTAATACTAAACAATCAGGCACATCTGCTCACTACCTTCCACTGTGCAGTGCAAATACCAGAGGGATTAGCCATTAATGCATACTTCACAAAACTGGGGAAAAGTGGCTGGGATCATTCTTGTAGTTTAAAGGAAAATAAGAACTAAATTTCAAAAGTTTCAAAGATTCATGTTAGAACTAGATTGCTCCTATTTCTTGAGACATAGTGTATTCCTCTCAGTGAGCCAATGTAGAGGGCAGGGAATTAGAGGAAATTTGTTGGCTCTAACCTAAGTAAATCAAAAAGGGGTTGTATTTTTTTCCCTACCAAATACTATATGTTTTCATTTTATCTTCTACCTGGGCTTAGAACTTGAAACTACTGCCAGGTTGGGAAAGCCAGCTTAGCAGAATTTAAAAAGTTGCAAGCTCTCCCTGGCTGGGGAAGAAAGCACTGTGGCCAGCTTCATTTCTAGGCTCCACATCCCCACCCTCCCCTCCTAGCCCTCTTATGTGCTGCCATCTTTGAGCTAGCATCCAGCCCAGTGGTACCCAATGGTTGGGGCTGTTCCTTCCGAGAATATAGAATCCCGGGGCCACCTGTGCTTGTCACAGTGAGGGAAAGATGCCTGGAATCCGATGATTGGGAACCAGGAGACAATGTCAGATGTCCTATAATGCCAAAGTGCTACTGGATGGATATTTCTGTAGGTGCAAATCTGCTTATAATCACTTGAGCCTAGAGGTGGACTTGTTTCACACATGCCAAATGTATTTTGGCATGGTTTTTATACATTGGGCTCTCAGTGCTGAATAACTGAGGGAGGAGTATAAGATACTTTTTTCTTTCTAGATTTTACCAAGCATTGCCCATCACTTAGATAACCACATCACTAGAAACCACTCCGAGTTATAACACAACACACCTGTATTATCTGCATTTTCAGCCACTGAAATCTACATATAAAGGTATCTGACTACTTACTTGACTTCTTCTTGGATAGTCATGTCTGGGCTTTAACTTATTGAAAAATATATTTTAATATTAAACACATGCTTTGAATATTTCTTTGTATGACAGAGAAGTATGATCTTTTCAAAAATAAAAATGTGTGCAAATAAATCAATAATGAACCTTTTTGAGGAGAGTAAAAGGGGCATTTGTTCATAACAAAGGTTATGTTGGTTAAAGGTGTCATGGGGTTAAGAACCACTACACACTTGGCACAGATTCTCTGTACTATTATGAGGAGGAATACTAGGCCAGCGCACAATGTATGTGAAATCACTTTGAAATTGTAAGGGCTTTAATATTTAAGTCCTGCTGGTTCAATCTTCAAAATGTGTTTCCTGTGCTCCTTCTTCTCTATCCCAGGCAGCAACATAGCCCAGGCTCTCAGTGATTGATTCCCCACTTCTACTAAAGTCAGCAATCCTCTCCAGGTTTCACTGTGGCCTATCCTTCAGGCCATATGAAAATGAATATGACACACTGTCTTTATTTCCATGTATGTGATTTACTTATATCATCTGGCCTCCCACTTTTGATTTTTCCCACCCATGTAAATTCTTCAAGATTTTACTTTAGTTTCTACTTGCTTCTATGATACTTCTAAATTATGAAAACAACATAAGTCATATATCTCTGCATACTATATAGTCATATGGCTGCCCATTATTGGATAATTTAGCACTTAACATTATTTTTTTCAAATCTACCCTTGTGTTTTGGTCTTTTTCCCCACAAACTATCATAGGGGCTATCTTTTCAACTTTCTCAGAACCCAGAAAATTATTATGTATTTAGTAGGAACTGAGAGATTTCTCCTGGCTTTTTACTTGTTGGGGTCTCCAACCAAGAAAATAGATTAAGTGACCAAACGAAATAAACAGCACTAGGTAGCTGAGTTAGAAAGAGGTGCAAAACTGTATCTATACTTTTGTATAGCATACAATTTAATACACAAAATAATAGTACCTCAGGAAATACGATCCAGTGGATTTATTTGAAATAATATATAAACAATAATAATGGAAAATGATTACAGAACACTTCCTAGCTCAATGAAAGCAGGAGCCTTTTGTTTTACTACCTAAGGCATAGTAGATATTAATGCACTGAAAGGATTAATGAAGCAATTACAATGGCTAGCATTCAGCACCTACTAAATGTCAGATTGTGTGCTAACACCATACTTTATAACATCATGCATGGTCTTTGCATAACCCTTTGAGGTTAAATTTATTAGTATTCTTATTTTTTTAATGTAGTAACTGAAGAAGAGAATTAAAAACTTTCCCTGATGTAATAAAGTTAGCAATTGGTGCAGCCACCTGCTAGAGAGACTGCATTTTTAATCATTCTGCTCCATATTACAGCATGCTACATTTTTACTATAATTTACATTTATAAATTCTGATGATGAACATGGAGTAAATCTTTTAAGTCAAGGGAACAGTGGTGTGCAAATCCAGGCAATGGTAAAGATTTTGAAACAATGGGAAGGAGCTAAGCTAAGAAGCAGAACCCTGTAGAGAGGAGGTAAGGTGTGGGACCCTCCCACTGTTCCACCAAACATGGGAGGGAAATCATCCCACGCATTATAACACTGAAAAGTCTTCACTCCTCTTTGATATCTCTACTGCCTGATCTTCTCTTCTTCTCAGCTTGCTGCATTATGACTCTGCCCAAAATTTCTTCCTCCCAACAGAAATTCTCTGGCTCCTCTGATGATGGTTAACACTAATACAAACTTCATTTGTTCTGTCTGCTTTCCTAGCCTGAACATAAGTTCCATGTCTTGTTATA